GGACTTAATGCATACATATTATTAAAATATGGGCTATAACAGTTGTATAGCAACTTGAAATGCTCCCACAAATGGCACTACAACATGTAAAAAAATAATATAAGCTCTGGGGGACTTGGTTCTATGGTAGGACTTAAAGGGTTAAATAAATATCGTCAAATAATCGAGATCTCAATTTTAGTGAAAATAATCGTGATTATCATTTTTGCCATAATCGAGCAGCTCTACATCTAGGAGGAAATTTTATGAGAATAAACTGGCAAATTTCCAAGTGAAAAAATTGTGACAAAAAAGTGAAAAAAATTGCAATTTTGTGGGCAAAATAGGAAAATTTACGAGACAAACTGGCCAAAAAACCCCAAATAAGTATATCTGCAATAAAAAAAAATCTATGAAGAAAAGCTGCCAAATTCACACAGAGAAAGTGAAACGATAAAAAAAAAAAAAAAATCTAAATTTCCTGCTTAAATAAATTTATAAGCGAAACACTGTAAATTCACTAGAAAAAAGTTCAATTTTTGGGAAAAAAAATCACATTTCCAATTTTAGGAAAAAAAGAAAAGCTGGAAATGATTTATTTTTAAATTGCCAAATAATTTAAAAAAAATTAAAATGTAGTAAAATGTGTGAATAATTACCAGTAAATGAATGCAAACTGACCTCCCTTTGCACTTTATATATCGAGGGGTAAGTATAAGAATCTCCAGGCTTAATCCTATTATTGAACAGACCCCAAAAGGATTTTAACGTCTGGCTTGTTCTACTCAGTCTTTAAATCCTGATAATTCAGTTGATACATCTAATTATGGGAACAACCATTACCTGTACACATCTGTAAGCACACAGAAGTTTCTGTCAGGCCTGGTTGTCGTATGTTTGGTGAAGCAGGTATTCCTCCAATGACTGTCTGTGTCACGCTCTTATTTTTTGGAGATGTATTAAAGGATGGCGTTCACCTGCTCTTCTCTGTGTTAAATGATAAATGCTGGTCAGTGCCACAGAGCCCCGACACCTTTATTTTGACCCATTTGTCACCATAATCCGTTGATGGTGAGCTTTTCATTGTTGTGGTCAGTCGAGCTGTTTGGGATTCGTGTAAACGCTGCCTGCTGAGACACAGGATGAGCCTTCATCGGCCAGCCCGAGTAACCAGATCCTTGCGCGACGTGTCGGGTTACCACGCCAAGCTCTGTAGGACTGGTCTCTATGGCGACAGGCAGGCAGGGAAGAGGAGTCAGGTTGTTTTTAATGAAGGTGGGGTTTCACCTGTGTGTGTTGATGTCCATCACCATGTGTCATACATCCTGGATGAGTTTTTGCCGATGTGTTTTTCTAGCGGCACACTGTCAGACGTGAGCTGTCTTTCTTTCTTTCTTTTATATTAATATTTTATGGGATAAATAATTAAACCAAAATACCTTAAATGATCTAAAATCAGCATCTTTCACAGTATTTGATTGTTTTAACTCTCTTTGTTGGTCGGAAGTTGTGATTGGTTTGTGGAATTTGGCTCTTTAACCTCAGACAGATATATCATAATCTGACATTACTTGCTGATTTCCGTGCCCCTAGTTTGAAACCACAAACCTCCTCAACAAACCACACAAGAGGAAACAGGAGATTCATTCATATCAGGTATCATCAGCAGTTTTTTGTAGTCTGATGTCTGATTGGCCTTGAATGCAACATTAATGCCTGCTGTCAGCTGCATTCCAGCATCAGTGAAACTCGGACCAAACAATGACACAACTCAACAGAGTCCGAGACACGGCGTCACAGCTGAGGATCATTTCCCAGCATGCCTCACTGCGGCGGGAACAAAACCCCTAATCAGGCCTAATGAAGGGCGCAGAAGAAGAGATGACATGATGATACTGACGGAGAAACAAAGTACTCACTCAGCATACTCTTAAAATACAGCGAGGGAGTGACAGCAGCTTTATTTGTCCTTAAGTCTCTCTTTGTGTTTACATTCATCAGAGGAGGACACACCCACTGAACACACACACACACCAGGTGGAGCAGGTGTGACCGGTGTGCTGTTCAGCCACTCTGCTGAGGTATGCAAAGCAAAGGAGAGAGACCAAGAAGTAATTCATTACTTTGAGAGCACATCACGGTGATGCTGGTTAATGATATAGTAACTCGGGTATGAAGTTTCAGAGGGAACTTCTTGCCTGCCTGCTGAACTTTGACTCCAGCCTTCATGAGTAGGGATGGGTATTGTTTAGGTTTTGTCCGATACCAGTACCAAACCGGTACTTTTGAAACGGTGCCGGTGCTTAAACGGTGTTCGAACCGGTGCTTAAAGAATGAAGAACACAAACTTTGTCCAAAAACCTCTTATGTTTAGCTGTTTTTTTTGTGAAAAGGTAACAATGTTAGCCTTTTCTGCAGCTATAGGGCATATATGGTATCACTCTTGGCTGGAAGCAGTGCTTAATCAATGGAAAAAACACCAATTTTGTCTAAGTGTTTAGCCGTTTCCCACTTTTTCTTTGGTCATTTCAGCCTTTTTGGCCAGGGTGAAGGGAGTATCTGCCATCAAACAAGAAGACAGCCGCATGTAACTACGACGATGTTTGCTAGTTCACCTTACGTGCATTAATGTAATAACGTGGTTAGCCTACTCAACGTAAATTACACACGAACAACATTAAGCTACTCACGCAGAGAAGAACGGCTGCTGCTGCCGTCATCATCCGTCATCATTTCTGCTACACTGACAGGGCTAGGGGCCAGGACTCTCGTCTTCGGGTTCTTGGGGGATGTTGCTAACTCCGGGTCCGATAACAGGCACCACACCCGCAGTAGATGTGCACGGTGTGAGGTCTCGCAGCAAGCTATCAAATACGGTGCATTTCTCGGCTTTTAACAAAATGCCATACGTTGCCAGGTGTTTCATCAGATTCGAGGTGTTACCTCCTTTGCACAGTATCAGCTTAAAGCACTTGTTGTTGGCTGCTGAGTTTGCATCTTTTGGTGTGAAGTACAGCCAGACTTTTGACCGCTTCGCCTTGGGCATTTTTAATCTGTAGCTCTGCTCTAAAAGAACGTACGTACCTGGGCCCGCCTACTACGCTTGCAAAGGTAAAATGATTGGCTAGAATCCAAAGTGTATGACATCTCAGGAAAAAAAGCACCGAAATAAAGCACCAGAATGTGCGCTGCTTTTCGGTCTGGTTACTACAGTTTATGTCAGCACCGGTTCTGACATACCCATACAGTTCTGATACCGGTACCCATCCCTATTCATGAGCTGTACATTAACTTTGGGCAGTTTGTGGAGGAAATGCAGTAATAACTCCACATTACTGGAAGATAAGGGAGCTGCATGGGTTAAACTTGCAAGAGGCCCACCTCGTGCCCGCTCCCTACTTGAAAACGGCAAGTTCAGGTGGACTTTGTATCATAGTGCTGGCAGATGAAAGACGAACTAATGTCTAACCGGAATATGTTTGAAATACAGTGCTGTTTTACTTTGGTGGTGGTGTTTTGGCTTGTTGAGCTTGGTGTGTGAAGTCTTGTTGGTCCTTGCTACCATTTCTAGCTCAGAGATTTAAAGATTAGCAAGCTTTAAAATATGAGTTTTCTGTTTGGACATTGGTGCCAAAAACTGCAGTTCCTCTAACGGCCACTTGAGGTTGCCGCCAAGGTTAAAATGTCCTGTTTATCGCAGTGAAGCAGCAGTGCTACTGCCATCAGACCAGGCTCAGAGGGACGAGGTGCAGGATTGACACATACGGTCAAGTAATTGTAATGCTTCCTGATGAGGAAGACTAAAATTTCTCTCACCAAAATGCAGGACGCCTCATTACTAGCCAGATAATCCAGTATGAAAAGTGCCAACAGCACAAACAGTCCAGAGGTCGAGTTCAGGGACTGTCAGTTAGACAGCCTTCAGCCTGTGGTAGCACATTTGTACCACCTGCTTTAACATCGGAGTCTATGGGAACTGACTCAGCATTGGAGGCGGCCTCAAGTGGATGTCAGAGGAACTGCAGTTTTTACTCCTAAGCCTGAAGGCTGATGGTGTCCTGTCATAACCCGGGCGGGCAGCGATGACTCAAGATTGGTGTAGGAGCGTCTACTAGAAATCTTAGGCGAGCTGAAACTCATGGACATTGACCTTAAGGTCAGAGATCAAGTTTACTGAAAATCTTGTGAACACACATTGCTGTATATAGACGTTTGAGGAATAACAGTCCGTGACGTGGGGTCATGTGTCTGGTCATGACAGTGCAGGGACTGAGAGAGCAGTCAGACATTAAGGATGAGTAAATTATGTTTGCTTCACAGGTGTACTTCAGCCTAATGTCTCCCTGGCAGCCATCTTTATTTTTTACCAGTGCAGTGAGCTTGGTGTTTTTATTGGTGTGAAACCTGCAACAAAGACAAAAGGGGACAGAGCCTTTCAGTCTGTTGCACCAAGGCTGGGGAACAGTTTACCACTACAATTACGTTTGCTTGACTCTGTGGATTCTTTTAAAAAACAGTTAAAAAACTCTTCTGTTCAAGCGCTTAATAAATAAAGTTTACTTACTTACTAACTAACTAATGCTCAGTGGAGAAAGGGAAATAATTTAAAAAAAGCTTCAGTTTAAATTAAAAGGCGTTATTGTGAGTTATTGTGTGGATACGTCTCAATTAGGGATGGAAAAACTGGCTTCGAAATCCAAGAGAGTGTCCCACTGAGCTCCTGTGCTGTCATGCTGAAACCATGAGTGATGTCTGTACACTGTGTTCAGACCTGGAGTTTAATGAAAACTGTGCAGGAATCAATAAAACGACGATTATAATGTTTCTTAAGAAACTGAAAAACACACAAACCCTCCTTGAAATCAGCAGTTCAGCAGCCTGACAGGTGAAGTCTGGGGCAAAGACATCTCCTGTTTCCGCCTGTGAGATTAATTACTGTTGAAATTTCTGCCCACTCAGCTCGGCTCTCATTTAAGGTTTGGAATCTGGACAGTAAAACAGTAAATGCAGGGATCGCCTCATTCTCTCTAAATGTTACGAGTCAGCATCCATAAACCAGCTAATGTTAGCTCACCTGGAGCTGCTGCTGGCTTGGACTGCAAAAAGTGCCTGAGCTCTTGCTACCTCCAGTTTTTTTTTCTTTGAGGAGTAGTAGGGGTTCATTTAAGGATTTTAAAAATACCATTAAAAATAAAGGCATTTAGTGGATATTTAAAAGACAGAGTGACTTCTAAGCCTGATGATCTTTAGGATCGGTTACCAAGACAAATATTTTAAACTCACTCACAGCAGAAAGTAAAACTAACCTGTCTCTGTGCCTCTTTCCCTGTTTTTCAGGTACAGGACAGTCTTTTCCTGTTGGCGTGTGCTGAGTCACTCCTTCACCTGAGTTTTACTGACTGCCTGTCCTTGGGCCTCCACTGAACCTCCAGATTTCTCCATCCACAGCTGCACCATGGTACAGTGAACAGAAAACAATTTGAGATCTGAGACACTTTCACCGAGCGTGTTAGCCTGTTTAAGAAAAACCCAAATAATTTTTTTATTTTATTATTTCTTCAGGTCATCAAACAGCCGTTAATAAGGTCCAGGGCTGTTTCTGCTGTGAGCACCATGCAGATTTTGTTTCCTCATTAATTTGCTGAAAAGGCTTCTCTGTGCTCACCTTAAGTTTAACACCTCTGAATTTAACACCTGAACTCACCTGCAAGAGTTTGACAGTTTCAGGGTTTCACATGAAAAATAATCACAAGATTAAAACACACTGATGTTTTCTTTAATTCTGAGGTGGTGATTTGAATTATGCATGCCGCAGTACTCTATGTGTCCAGCTGGGGCAGCAAACAGAGTGCCAGACTGTTACTTTTTTTTTTTTTTTTTTTTGCGGGTAGATGGTATTTTATTTTGTGGGGGTGTAGTCGTGAACCTGTTTGCAGGAGCACATACAGAATCAGCTGAATTTTAGACCACCACTGCCTCTTACAGGCTTTGCATAAACTGGACATAAAGGATCCATTTGAAAGACTTTTGTATTTGTCTGCGTTAACGAGAAACTTTTTAATTGCAAACTTGCAGCGAGTAGAGCGCTGACGGCTGCTAATTCACCAACAAACATCTTTTGAAGCCTGTTTTTTGGATCCCCCCCGCTGTTAGTCACCAATTCTCCATCTGCAGTCTACTGAAGCGAGACTGCTGCAGCTTTCACACGACTCACGGCTCTGTGTGTGTGTGTCTGTTCAGAGTGTATGATGTCTGAGAGCAGTTGCTATGGCCTGCAGCAGCGGTCAGAACAATGCAGAGACTCTGGAGGGGTTCCACGAGGTGAATCTGGCCTCGCCCACCACACCTGACCTTCAGGTAAGGTCGGAGCTCCAGCCGTTCCCGTTAGCTCCCTGCATGCTTCACGTTTCAGGAGGTCCACTCTCGTAGTTCATCGTTCATCGGGTATAAAAATGTTTTTGTCTTTAGAAATCTGCGCAGCCTCCAAGTCTTCTCTTGTGCATGATTAAAAAACAAAAACAAAAAAAAAAACAACCCTTCGCTGTCGAGGATTTTTTTGTGTCCTGTGTGGAAAAGTTCATTGTGTGTTTGTGCGTGAAGATGAAATATCATAAACTCACTGTTCTGGAATTTGTGTCACCCTGACTGCTTGTGTTTGCCCTGCAGAACCAATCGGATCAGCGCCCGGCCATCCGTCACACCACCCCGCCCACTTCTCTATATCGCACCCACTCTCTGGGAGCGCCTCCTCCGGGCCTCCCCACCTCACTGCGAGCAGATCAGCTGCCCACTCAGCCGGTGTACTCGGCACCACGGCACAGCCACAATGGAAGGTAACAAAAACACAGGCGCCTGCACCCAATCGATGAGCCGTAATCTGTAACTCACCCGTGCTGTTTCCCCGCACAGCGTGCCAGGCCTGGAGGCAGAGTCGGCCGAGTTCATGTCCGGAGAGGATGGGGAGGAGTGTGGTGCTCTGAGCGACAGCCTGTCACGGCTGCGCAGCCCGTCGGTGATGGAGGTCCGAGAGAAAGGATATGAGAGGCTGAAGGAGGAGCTCGCCAAGGCTCAGAGGGTAGGGTGCGCTCACTTAGGGTTATGTCTTCATCACGCAGAAGACATCACAACGTCAGCTTCCCCCAGACTAATCTGACCTGAAAGTGACCTAATCATGACTTTAACTCAAGTTCTCGTGTTTAAGCTTTGAAGGAACCGTTCACCCCAAACTCAGGGATGCTTTTGTCAGGAGAGACAAAAGAAATAAGATCAAGAGCAGAGACATGAGAGAGGACAGAAAAAAGATGAAAGAAATCATTTAAAGATGGGCAGTCTTCAGAAATTATGAAACCGTAATTCAAAAAATAAATACAATAAAATCCACAGACGTCTGCTTTGGTACTTTCATTAGGATTTATTTTATTTCTACCAGATCTTAGCCACAGTGCAGGAGGCAGTGCCCGTTTACTGTGACGACAGGATGTAAACAATGATCACGTCTTGCCTCAGCTGAGCTGTAATTTACTGTGTGCTTCTTCAGACTGGAAATAAAAAAGAAAATAGTTCCTGGAGGAAGGTTTGAGGTTTTTCTGAGTAACTGAGGGACGTTACTGCCACGCAACAAGACGAATGTTACTGCGTTCCTTTGTTTGTGTGTGTGTGTATTTGTGTGTGTGTATTCACTACATCTCACCACAGCGTTCATTACTTTAGAGCGATATCGTGTAATTTTCAGAGTTTTATTTAAAAGCATGTTTTAAATGATTTTTTGCGTTAAACATGTTTCACTTATTTTAATTTCTTCATCTCTTTGTTCGTTTGTCGACATGCTTTCATTTCCACATGTTCATTTGGTTGTCTTTCTATTGTGTTGCTGTGCGTGTGTGTGTGTGGAAGGAGCTGCTGTTGAAGGATGAGGAGTGTGAGAGGTTGTCTAAAGTCAGGGATCAGCTCGGCCAGGAGCTGGAGGAGCTCACCGCCAGTCTCTTCCAGGTCGGTCCACCTACCCTACGTCTGTGTCCTCTACTTCCTGTTTCCTTTCCTCCTCTTCCTCCTGAGGCACCGGACAGAAAGAATATGAGTGATTGACACAGGCAGTGTGAAAGAGGTGTGACGGGTTTAACAAAGCTTTTAGGTGAACTCTAAACATTTAGTTTTGTCACCCATCAGGCATCGCAAGTTTCCCCTAAATATGGGCAGATAATTGAATTTGATGAGAATAAAGTTAAATTATCATTTTTGTTCAGTCTAGCTTTTGTGTTGTATTATGTTAAAAATGAAGTGCAGCCTTTTTGCCTAACAACAGATAGCCCTGCTGAAAAGCTCAAACTCGACCACAGATCGAGGCACAATGCTAAAAACCTAAGAATGTTTCCACGAGTGTCTCCTGTGATATGTGAGGTCCAGAGCCGATGTGTCTGTGCTGAATGAATCTGTCCGGCGAGCCCTGAAAACGTGCTGCTCCAACTCCTCTTCCTCCGTGCTCTCGTTCACTCTTGGCTTTCTCTTGCAGGAGGTGTTGGGACTCTGTGTGCTTGTGCGTGTCTGTAAATGCAGATTACCTTTATGTTCCTGTTCTGTGTTTTTGAGTTTATTTATGATATTTCAGTTGCACTGAGCTTGTTTAGCTGCTGATTCACCGTCTGTGTGTTTTCCAGGAGGCTCACAAAATGGTGAGAGAAGCAAACGTCAAACAGGCAAATGCTGAAAAACAGCTGAAAGAAGCTCTGGGCAAGGTGAGACCTCACCACTCCACATCAGACCAGACTGTTTACCTGCTTACTCTGAGGATTTCTGTTTCTTTCTTCAGATCGACGTCCTCCAGGCAGAGGTTCAGGCTCTGAAGACTCTCGTGCTCTCCTCCCCGACCTCCCCGGTGGGTGAGCTTCCCTCTGTGGGAACAGGAGGAGGCGTGAAGACTCCCTTCAGGAAGGGCCACAGCAGGAACAAGAGCACCTCCTCCGCCATGCTGGGGACGCAGCCCGACCCGTCGGCCACGCAGCCCATTGTACGCGAGTGTCGGGAGGTAAGAGGTGCAGCAGGAGGAGGAGTGCTCACGCTCCCAGAGCTTTTTCTTTAACAGCCGATGATGAGACTGCACGTAGTTTCTGACTTGCAGGTGGACGGTCAGCTGTTCAGCGAGTTCAAGGCATGGAAGGAGGAGCCGACGTTCGACCGAAGCTGCAGCTTTCTGGAGAGAATTTACCGTGAGGACATCTACCCCTGCTTGACCTTCAACAAGAGCGAGGTACATGACGACCTCCCGAACTCTTAAAAGCGCTTTATTAGGAGTAGAAAGACATGCAAACATGCACCCATCTGAGATTTCAGTACTGATATTATCATTTCAGGTTTTTTTTGTTGTGAAGATCAAAATGTTTAGAAGGTTTAAAACTTCTGATCTGATCTCACAAACTCAGTCACTGTTTAGCTCAGATGATTAAAAGATGTTAGGTTTCTGTAGACAAAGCTGCAAAAAGTTCGTTAAAGGTGCGTGCATCTGCCTTCTGGGGACACTGTCGCCTCACAGTAAGAAGATTTGAGCGTGAGTGGGTGGCGACCTGGCAAGGCGTGCCCCGTGCTTGCCCTCTGCCAGCTGGAAAAGGCTTCACCCGGTTTGTCTCGGTATGCGTTTGATTTGATTGTTTAAAAAAGTGCAGTTGACAAATGTGCAGGGTTTAGAAAATCCCAGGGAAAAGCCGGGGCCGCTCTGAGTCCCCTGGAGATGCATGTTGACATGAATCAGAAAGATTCTGATACCTCCTGCATCCGTTAACGCCCTCCTCTCCTCTCCTCTCCCCCAGCTGGGTTCGGCCATCTTAGAGGCCGTGGAGCAGAACACACTGAGTGTGGAACCGGTCGGCTTCCAGCCGCTGCCTGTGGTCAAAGCATCGGCGGTGGAGTGTGGAGGACCAAAGTGAGCACGTGCACACACTTGAACTCAAACACACGCACACACTTTCTCCCCTGCATTGAGCTTTCACTCCTTCATCATCACATCTCCATCTTCCGATTTCCTCCTCTAGTGGGCGCAGGTCTGAGCTCGTCACGTAAGTCTGACTCTCTCCCCCATTAGCCTTTTCCCTTTCTTTAGCCTCTCCTCAGTTGCTCCCCACCTTCATCCGGCTCTTCCAAACCCTCCTGCTAACTTATTCCCTCCTTCTAAACTTCTGTTCAGGCAGTCAAAGCCATCCTGTCGTCCTCTTCTCCTCCTTCGCTGCCTCAAGCCGTGTTAGTTTTGCTCCTGTGTAGTTTCTGCTTTCTAGGAGTTTTTTTGTTTCTTCCTGTTAAAGTAACAGCTAACTCATGTTTTTTTTTCTTTGTTTGTTTTTGTTTATGTCCATCTGGTAGAAAATGTGCCCTGAGCGGTCAGACCAAAACCTGCAAGCACAGAATCAAGTTTGGAGATTCGTCCAGCTATTACTACGTGTCTCCCTACTGTAGATACAGAGTGAGTGTAACACCCAGCCATCCACTCACACCTGAAAGCTTTACCTCCCCTTTATGTCCGGTCCATCTTTCCTGAGCCAGAACATTTTCTAAATTACTCCAAAGCTCAGTGAGCACTAAAACAATCCTGCCAGCTTCTTCCACCATCACTGTAAAAGTAAGAAAACAACTCTGGAGGTGATTCAGTGCATGTTACTGCACTTCTGCATGAGCAGTCCCTCTGCATGAGGATAAGAATGAAGAGCTTTCAGAATGACTAAATAAAGCAGCCATGCCTCTAACTTTAAGTCTTACACTTGTTATGAAGGATGAAACTATCCAGAGACACAAACTGTTTTCTCTAAATGTGTTTATTTATTCTTCAAAGTTTTAACTTGGAGCCTCAAGTGAATGTCACAGGAGCTGTAGTTAGAAACCTCCCTCCATGATTTTTTTTTTTTAAGTGTTTTTTTTAAATGTAAATGAGAAATTAGAACATAAATCTGAATACTTTAAATCGTCTAAATTAACAGAAACCTAAGTTTTAGCAAAATCACTAAGCTTATAGTTCAGCATGTAATCCTGTCCTCACATTAAACATAAGGAATAAATACGTTAAGTCTATAACTCTTTGTAGCTTTGCATGACTTCACCTGAAGCTCAGAAACTGTTGACTGGTGTTTTCAGCAGTGTCCTCTCTCCTTCAGATCACGGCGGTGTGCAACTTCTTCACCTATATCCGCTACATCCACCAAGGGCTGGTCAAACAGCAGGACGGTAAGAAACGCGCCAGTGGATTCTTGTGGTGGCTCGATATCAGTGTGATTAAACTCCCTGCCTCCCTCTGTGTTTGCAGCAGAACAGATGTTCTGGGAGGTGATGCAGCTCCGCAGGGAAATGTCCCTCGCCAAGCTTGGCTACTACAAAGACCAGCTGTGACCGGGGCCGTCCTCCACTCACAGCAGAGTCTGAGCTGAAGCCCCGCCCCACCCTGGCTCTTGCCCCTCCCCCTTATTTTGTGTGAGTGTTTTTTGTGTGAGAGAGAAACTGTTTTCAATCATCACAAAAAAAGACTGAAGACTGTGATTTTGGTGCCGGTGGTCATTACTGATCTGGACTTCTTTGGGTTCTGAAACATGCAACACTCCAGTGTGTCAGAAAACTGACATGTTTCTAAAAAAATAACACTACAGACTGTTTGGTCATCAGTTACATGTGATCTCTGGAGAGATGCATGTGGGTTTTGAAGCCTCAAAGCGAGAAAAATATCAAAAATAGGTGTTAGAAATATGAGAATATCTGATAAAAGTCATATTTCAAGGGTGAAGTTGAACCGTAGAATAAAGTCATTGTTTTAAGAGGAAGAACGTTGTAAACAGAATCACAGAAACTGTGGAAAAATAACCCCTTTTGTTTCCTGTTGTGGAGACGTCTGTGGCACCTAAAGTGGACGTTCGAGGAACTGCAGGTTGTGCTGCGCTTCCAGGTTCGCTTCATTTTCCTGCTAGTTAACAGGACACATCTTCCTTTTTCTTTAGGATGATTTTTCAAAATAAACCGCCATTCATAACAGAAACCGTCATTATGGATTTATGTGTGGTGGCTTTCAAAGCAGACTTCACTTTCACCTTAAATACTACATGAAAATATTATTTCAGCAGTAAAGCTTTAGTAAAACTGCAGCTGTTTAAAATGTAAACAATTTAGAATATTTGGGTATATATATTTATGATAAAACTCATCGTAGGGAACAAGTGACAGCTGACGTGACAACGTCTCAGCTGAAGAATTCAGAATTACAATTCTTCATTTTTACAACCTAAATTTTGAATTTTTTTTCTGTAAATGTTGAATTTAAAATAAATTCATGACTTATTCTTAGTTATAATCCTTTAAATTATGTATTTACGTTCCTGCAATTTCAGCTTTACTTAGTCAAATTAAAATGAACAATTTTTTCAACCTCCAAATTTTGACAATGTAATAATTAATGTTAAATTAACATGAATTTGAGTATTTTTACTTATTCTTGTCAATCTTTCATTATTCATATATCAAAAATTACAGAGTTTTTTTTCCTCATGTGAAACACTAAGTTGACTCACTCTTAGCACTTTGATTTTTCTCCATTGAAATTCTGCTCTCAGAATGTTTTTTTATTTTCAAACAACTTAAAACTGTTTTCCAGACTTTACATCAAATTATTGAGCTCTTTAATCATCAAATTTTGGGGCTTCTTGGGGTTTTTTGGGTCTGAAAAGTCTGAGAAATGTCAAATTTTGAGTTAAAGTAATTATAGTTTTGCTACAATACACTTTCCTCCACTGTTGGTGAGTCTATCATATATTTTCAGAGGGGAAAAAAGGTCAAGTTGTTATTATTTAGTAAACTTTGAATAAGCTTGTATTTTGAGTTAATTTAGAGGTCTCGATGATGGCAGAGTGGGATACAGTGTTTTTGTTTTTTACTTACAGAAAAAAGCTGCAGAAATAATCGAACATGTATCTGCAGGAGGAAGGACTTTATGTCGGCTCTTTGAGTTTCTGAGGGTTTTTGTTTTGTTGCTGGACATTAACATATCCTGCTGTGAAACAGGGCGCTCTGCAGCGAGCTCCATGTGACCAATCAGGACTCGTGTAGATAATAAGCTGTGTGTGTGTGTGTGTGCGTGCGTGCGTGCGCACCTGCTGTTCTGTAAACTTTATATATATATTAATTTAATCCTGACGTCTCTCTCTCTCGCCTGTTCATAGTCAATGTCACTCTCCCGGTTTGGTTTAGTGCCTTCTCTCTCAGACACTGAAATAAAAACAGTAATACCTCTGAAAATGATCCGTGGACTCCTCCACATTTTCTCTTCTTCGACTGAACTTTTACACGGCTGCATATTAACGACCGACCTTGCCTCCTCAGACGTACCCTCATGTCTCCGCCCACCGCGGATCCTCAACCTGAACTTTTGAGAGCAGTTTAACCTTCATGCTCCATCTTCCCTCTGCTGTGTTCATATTCATCTAATCACAGCTCTGCAGACACCGTCACCAACCTTCCACCCTGCTGCCAGTTTTCTTTGTTTACGTCAAAATTACACCAGTTTCATTTCCTGATTTTATTTTATTTTTTTCACTAAATGGCAGAAACGTCATCTCATCTAAAACAAATCAGTCACATCCAGACTGAGGGGTTGGCAGTGAAGTTTAATACATCCATGGCCTCCTGAACATGTCATGTTTAAAAACACAGTGGCTTTGAGCTGATGGTGTGGGTGCAGCTGATGGTGCAGGTGTGGCTCAGTTATTAAAACCTGTCTTTTTTTTGTTTAAAAAAAAAAAAAAGAAAAAAAAAAAAAGATGTTGGTCTCAGATGTTTAGTCAATGTTTGAATAACACTAATTCAGGCAGCCAGCAGGTCATAAAACAGGCAGACAACTGTGAACTGTGCTTTTTAGTGTCAGTCTATCGAGGCCACGCACCCCAGGCCAGCCCCGGCAGGATGAGCGCGATGAGGACAGAGGAGAACAGGTTGACTGCGTTGTTGTCTAAGATGGGTTTCCCGCAGATCCACTGGGTGGTGGCGGAGCTGTAGCTCACCACCTTCCCGATGCTCGCGTCAAAGCCTGAGGGGACACAGGAGAAAAGTCAGAAAATCTCTGCGTGTCACTGCACGAAAGGAAATCCCAGCTGCAGAAAACGTTACCAAAAAGTTAAACTCTTTCTTTTCTTTTTTTTTTTTCTTTTTTTCAAATTTTTTATTAGTCTGCAGATGCGGTTTACTTGTTTCAGTCAAGCTAAACAGGGACTGAGGTTTAGGAGAGCCCCTCTGAAGCTATGTTTTAATTCTGTTTAATTTTTAGTGAAATAAGTTTGAACTCCATGAGCTGGGATTTGAAGTAAAAGCTGCTTGATCTCTGAGGGCCGCTGAGTTCAATGGTTCAACTTCACTATTATAGGGAAAGAAACTGCAGAACTTCACTCTAACTGGGCATGTTTAATACTCTAAAAGGAAGCCACTCACTGTTCTCCTGCTTCCTCTGATCTCCGTATGAACGTCAAGCTTCAGCATCAGATTCAGTTCAATCTTATTTTTTACAGCAGCAAATCATCGAGGAGCTTCACATTGTGAGGTTAAAAAATCAACAATCAGACGACACCATATGAGCAGGCACTTTGGCAACAGCGGAAAGGAAAAATCCTTACATCTGATTTATAATCAGCTCAAACTGAACTTTAATCTCATCTCTGTAACTCAGCAGTCAGACTGCAAACATTTGCTGTACGTTGCTGAGAATTGGTGTTTAAATCAAACTGATCTGTGTAAAGCTTCAGACACTGATCAATCATTGATCATGTTGTAACTGATCACACTGATGAAAAACATCTGTTGCAGCTGGATCTTGGAGATTATTGGAACAATTGAGTGAAGATGAGGCTGAAATGGAACTAAATGGATTTTAAGGGCATTTTTAAAAGCGGCTGGTTGTAATCTGATTACATTTCATATTGAAATGTGAGCCCGGATTGAGATTCAGTCAGTAAATGATGTCAAACAACATTTTAAAGGTTCAAAGTATGAACGCGACATCTGAATCTGTCTGACACATCTGGGTTTGCGAGACAGAATCAGAGGCTGTGTGGCAGATCAGGAAGTTTCTCTACGTATGCAAACACTTAACAACATTCACATGAGATCTGGCTCAAACCCACCTGAGTACTGCATGTGCGCCCCCAGGAAAGAGTCCAACATGGACCCGAGCAGGCCGGCCACGCCGCCGTACACGACGATCGGCCACTGGGGGTCGGCCAGGTGGAGGTCGCTGACTGTTAGCAACTGCGTCACAAAGTAAGCCACACCCACTGCTGCCCCACCGAGGAAGCTGGCAACCAATCCTATGGGAGTAACGCCTCCGTTTGTTCCTGCAGGGAAAAAAGCCCCAGAAAAATGAGGCAACTTATCTAAAAATGATTTTCAGCGCAAAAGGATGCATGATTAGGTCAACTGAAATCTAAAAAATGATTTCATTTTTTGTTTACTGCTGATCTTCTGTACCGACAGCCTTTTAATGAGATGCCACACAGCATGAAAAGAAGTGTTCATCTGTGGACTCTCTTCAGATAAATCAATGTGACAAGTCACATTATTAATGAAGCTCATAATCACGCCTCCTCATCCTGATGAACGGTTGTGAAAATCTAATCTGTGTGTTTGGCTTCATGGAAAAGAGTCAATTCTCAGGAGTCCTGAGCTTCACAACTTAAAAAAACCCCCAGTCTGATCTGAACTGTGCTGTGGGACTTTTCCCCTCTTTAACACAAAGTGGAACATTCACATCATTACCCCACCCTCTTACTGGCTCCTCACCTGTGGGGACTTCCTTCCAAGTGGTTATGAGTCTCGGCTTTGATAGGCTGAGGACTGGCCCCACCTCAGATGCCCAGGTGTCCCCGGTACTGCATGCGAGCGCGCCCAGTAGGGAGAGGCACATCCAGGAGGCAGAGTACTGCTTATTGAAATCGATGGGGATCTCACCTGGACCCACCTGAAGCACGAGCAGGAAATGAATAACTTTACTAACATTACACTCACACAGAGCAGCTTATTTCCTGTGCTTCTCAGTTTACCTCGATCATGTAGAGCAGCGCCAGCTCAGTGGGAACACCTCCATTGCAGAAAACCTGAACCCAATTCCGCTGACCTCCTAAAAACAAGTAATTCACATTTAATTCAAACTGTTCCAGGACAACTGTTTAAGCAGCCCAGGTAAAAGGCGGTGAGTCAAGGGGAGTCACTAATCAGATGCTTAGTTTTTTTTCCTCAGCCACAGATCATTTAAAAAAAACAAACTCGTCACATTGGCCCATTAAAAAAAGCAATAAATAAACATATTTAGTATAATAATGTAAAATATGTTATTAGTTTATTTAAATTTCATATGAATAAACTTAATATGCAAAATAATTACATTTAAAGTTACATTTTCACCACTAGATGCCAGCAGATTACAGACTATGGTCAACAGAGGTCTATTTCCTAACCCCTCCCAATTAAATAGAGATCCTAGCTATGGTGGCTGCTGGACAAACGCATTTTGGCCAGCTACAAGAGATCCGAGTATTAAAGTTAGACTGTACTCCATAAAAGCTGTGACCGGAGTGCACGTTTCTACTGTTGTTTGTGAACACACTTCCTGATTTGCTGTCAGTGTACTCTGACGGCAAAGTGACCCTTTCCCCCGACAGTGAAATACGTCAGTTCACCGTTTACCTCAGCTGTGAATGCCGGGTAAGAAGCATCTGCCTTTATTTACTCTGGGAGAGGCTGGAAAACTTATCTTAGCCTATAACTAGCTGCTGTTGTTGTTGTTTATCCATCTCATGTCTGATCTGTTGACGATAAGTAATTGTGAGAATATCGGACATGAATTAGCTATTTTACGTATGTTTTCGTGTGTTAGAGCCCTGACTTCAGTTCAGGAGACGAGGCTTAAGGTGAGGAGGAAGAAGATGATATTTTATTAAGATGACTGTGATGTCTGTTACCTCTTTGTTTCAGTTTGGGGAAAGGGGATCCCTTCTCAAAAGATAA